GTTATAGAGAGGATTGAGGAAAGGATAAAAGATGAACAGGGGTCATGGCGATCGATGTTGCATTTAAAGTTTTGAAGATTATAGTTATCAGGGAAGCAAATAAGAGGAAAGGAGTTCTATAGTCGAGATAAGAAACTGTTGTAGTAGAAATGGCGGTTACATTCAACTATTTCAACAGTAAAAGGGTGGGACCTAGATGCCAATCTAATAGCAAGCTTAAATTCATGTAGTCGTGGCACCAGGGAAAAAATCACCGTGAAAATATTTGTAGAAAAGATAGAGGGAAGCCATATTACGTCTGTGAGAAAATGACTGAAGTCGAGATGCCAAGTCAGGATCGATTACATTGCAGATCCTTCTTTGGATTTTGTCGAGAACCTCGAGATGAACAGCAGGGGCACCGGACCAGACATGGCAACAGTATTCAATGCACAGACGAATGGTAGATTTGTAGATGTGTAAGATGAACTCTGACGAGAAAAACCTGGCATAACACTGAACCAACATTCCTTGCAGTAGATGCAGCTATTGATTCAATGTAGTCGTTTCACCCCCAAGTCAGTCGAAAACTTGAGTCCAAGAAGACGCAGTGAGACGCTCTCCCGGAGTCGAGCATCAAACATGGTGAGGGTGGGGAAGGAAGTTTCTTTGTGGTGGTTAAATGTTGACATATATTCCTTACGATATATTGGTGAAACTTGCAGAAATTAAAAAAAACGTATTTATGAAATTAAGAAAGATCTCCTATGTAACAATTTATCCAATTAGTTATCCACAGAAATAATTTCAACCACAATTTCGATCTAAAAAAATATTATACTTATTAAAAGAGAAAATAAATTAGACGAAAAGTTCTTCCTTAAAATAAAGGTTCCTTTCTGAAGCCAGCATACTTTATGCATGAACAGAAGATTAAAAGAAACCATTAAGTCATAACCTTTAAAAATATAAATAAATTGATTAAATAAACAAAACAAAATAAAAATGCATAAAAATAAATAATAATTACATATACATAAATAATCAACAATAACAACAATAGCATTGACTCACTTTCGAAAATTACTGTTCTTTTTTTCTTCTTAAACAGTGAAAAAAATATCAACTGGCCTATATCAAAAAGTCCTACTATTCCTGTTGGGACGCACATTTTTCTTCTGTAGGACTTCCTGATTTATGTCGGTTGATATTAATTCCAGTGTTTAGAAAGAAATTGACTTAAAAATTTTCCATCTTTAAAATTTGATTCTACTCTCTATCTTCTTCTTCTTCTTCTCTCTTTCTCTCTCTCTCTCTTTATATATATATACATATATATATATAAACATATATCTCTATCTCTGTCTCTGTCCTCTGTTTGTTTGTCTGTCTCTCTCTATATATATATATATATATATATATATATATATATATATATATATATATAGATATGGATATGGCAATAGAATTACAACATTTCACACATATAGTGCAGGTGTTAACGAAACAGTACTCAGTGTAATGAGAGAATATATATATATATATATATATATATATATATATATATATATATATACATACCATCTCACACCTCTAGTACGACTCTAAGATTCATGCAAGACGCAATCTTCGGGTGCAGAGTTTAATTCTGCACCTGAAGATTGTGTCGTGCATGAAACTCAGAGTCGTGCTAGAGGTGTGAGATATATATATATATATATATATATATATATATATATATATATATATATAGAGAGAGAGAGAGAGAGAGAGAGAGAGAGAAGAGAGAAAGACACAGACAGAGAGGGAGACATGGAGGGAAGGTGTCAGTGAAAGTGAAAGAGTAATTGAGAATATAATGATCGATGCTGAATAGTTACTGTCAGTTTCTACAAACCAAATGCCACTAATCCTTTAGTGGACTATATATAAAAGGTCGCTAGGATTATAAAAAATTGCTGAAAGCGAAAATCGTCCCTTCCTTTTTTTCGATTAATAATAATGCCTAGGGTTATTTATGGTCATGACCTCTCAATTGCTTATTTATACTAGTTGAGTGATTGGAGGAAGTAAGTATGTACATAGGTTAGGATTACTTATCGCTATAATCTCGAGATTTCTTATTTATATATTTATTTTGTTTATTTTATTCATATATATATATATATATATATATATATATAATTCATTTACTTTGCATATTTTTTCTTCAGGTTTATGTTATTTGGAATAAAGTTTATTAGATTCTATTTAATCATTTTACCTATGGTACGTTTTTAGATAGCGTAGTAGGAGTTTTTGTGTCTGCATTTGGAAATGCGCTATCATCATTTGTTTAGGAGTTTATTATCGTTCTGTAAAGACATTATTGTTGTTTTATCCTCTAGACAAAGGTTATATAGTTTTGAGGTGTTGTTGGAATCTGGTGTTGTTTTGTGTTATTTTTGGTGTGGTTTGTGTTTTGGAGCTGCCATATATGCTTTGAGACGCTTGTGCCGTTTGCATATGATTCGTTATTAAATGATGTTTTCTTTGAGTAGCTTCTCTGTTTCCAGTGATTATCTGTTATTCCTATATAGTTTCCTGAGTTTCCTTTAAATCCTACCATATATATTCGTATATTACTTAGGTAGTAACTAGCAAGCTATCACCCGCTCGCTATCACCTCGCAAAGTAAGATATATTCATTACATGAAATCTTTGAAAACAAAAATTTTAAATGAACATTTCATTCATAAATCGGCTTGTTATAGCTAAGGAAAGTTTTACAAATAGATGCCAACTTGTTGAAGGCCAAGTAAAATGCAAATTTCAAACACTTTTCTGCACTATATATGACGATATTCCTAAACAGAACTATTTTTGATATGGAAATCTAAACAATCCCTGAATAAAAGAACAGTAATGAAGGATAAAATCAAATTAATTAAACCTGAAAAGTGATATTGCCTAGAAGTAGATATTGAGCTTTTAGTGTGTAAATTACTCTCGAGTAGTTTGTAACACGTTTATTTATCATCTCTCAGTTGCGTCTATGTCTTCGGGCAAAGTGCGTTCAGGGGCGGCTCTGTGAAAGTCGCAACTGAGGAAAATCATACTGAGAGATGCACAGCCCTGGGGAACAGCTGCTCGAGGCGGCGTTCTCTCATTGCACTAGAGAAGGGTATCGGTTATCACACCGAGACCAGGGCAAACGATGTTTTCGGGGGCTCGGGGAATTTTTGTTCCTAGTCCGGGTGTACGCACTCGGGCTCCCTATATTAAACGTACCTTGTGTTACAACTTGACCTCGTGGAGGGTTGAATAATTAAATCTTGAGGAAGATTTAAAGAATGCTAAACTGCTAAAATTATGACCCGAAACATGTTCCCTATTTTTTACGTGTGGGTTATGGTATGTAAGGGAGAGGTAGTACCTTTAGCAGGGGGTCCTTTTCAGGGCAGCTCGTCTGCCACTGGTCCTCACCTGTCATACAGCTCTCACCTGTGGCTCCTAGAAGCTGTCGCATGCAACAGCGGCCACCCTCGGGCAACGGCTTTGGCAGGGCGGCCAAACCAGGTGAACTGCAACCCCTGGTGAGTTAGGTTTGGGCAGTGTCAGCCCTACTGCATGCGAAGATTGACTCCCGGCGGAACAAGCGGAAGAGATCACCTGTGGATCCAACGATTGTGAAAGCGGTGGCAGCAAGTGTTGTGGAGCGCCCTAGAGCATGGATGTGACACTTAAAGAAGTCCTGGTCATCCACTGCAGACTGGCAGTCTCCCGTCGTAACGGTTCCCCGTGACACTAGATCAAGACTTCCCAGGCCGAGAGAGTGGGATTGTCCCCGTGCAACGATCTTCTAACTATAAAATCCTCATCCACAGGTCCGTTATATAACTCATTATTCATTATGACGGGATCAGTCTACTTGAGTTGTGTCTCGACTGGATTTTTAATAATACTTTTTAGTGTTTGTCGTTCCCCTTAATATGCAACCATGAAAATGAATGAAAGTTTAGATATATTTTTAAAATAAATCCTACTTTTAATATCACGGACGGCATAAACAACTAGCATTGAAAATAATTTACAATGCATTTCTCTATTAATCCCATACGGGGTTAAACTGTGGAAGGCATTATAATGAAAAACTTTTATTATTATTATTATAATAATAAACTAATTCTAGATATATTTATTATAATAATAATAATTCTAATCCTAGATCATCATCATCATTGTTATGGGGTCCACCCCTTTTTCATACAAGTGGACTCGACCAGTGTGTATTTGTACTGCTGCCGGTGAATACCCGACGGGTATAGTAATAGAGAGAGTGAGAGTGTGAGGTAACTGCTTTGTAGGAGTCACAGGTGCGAGCACGTAGACTCAGAAGGAAGTCATACTTCGATACTGAATTTCCCAGACTGTATATATATATATATATATATATATATATATATATATATATATATATATATATATATATATATATATATATTGCTATTAACTGCATTTCTGGATCTACTAACCGTATTACCAATTGTATTATTACGTCAATACATTTATTTGCTATATTTCATTCCTGCGTTTGTCATTTATTTGAGACCAGATTTCATCCCGGAATCCGCAACAATCATAATTATCATCATCATCATCATCATCATCTTCTTCTTCTTCTTCTTCTTCTTCTTCTTATTATTATTATTATTATTATTATTATTATTATTATAAACTAATTCTAGATGTATTTTAATACCATGCAACTTAAGATATACCTTGGTGGATTGACTCATAATTCATAACGGTATAATACGTGATTACTAAGGAAAGGCGAAGTCCTTGGCGGCATATACCAAGGTCAGATGCAGTCAGCACTAAACTGTGAATACTTCACCCTACACTCGTAATTAACTGTACCACTAAAGACAAAATCATTTCTGTGAATAAAAGTTTCGATCTAATATATTTTAGTTTTGATATCACGAGCTGTATAAACAACGAGTACTAAAATACCTTACAATGCATTTCTCTCGAGTTTACGGCTATATCATGTCGAAACCCCGGTTCACGTACGGTCACTGAAGTTAAGCAATGTCGAGCTTGGTCAGTACCTAGATGGGTGACCGCTTGAGAATACTGCTTGGGAATACCAGGTGCTGAAAGCTTGGAAGTGCAGGTGGTATAATATCTAATGGTTCGGAATTGTTAATCAGAGAGCCGAGTTCCAGTTCGATATATTCATTTACGCGCAAATACCTTGGGAAAGGTATGAATCCACCTCTTTCCCCCAGCTATGGGCTAATTAGTGATACGTTTATAACTAAAACATCATTATCTCAAAAAAAAAAAAAAAAGAAAAAATTCTTACAATCCCAAAATATTTTCTGGCTTGAAAAGTTTGATAATCCGTAAAAAGCGAATTACTCAATCAAGCATGCAATCATTATTCTTGTAAAATCAATTGGATTTCTATTGATACCTGTTAGTTTCTGTCTAAATTTCTGTGATGAGTACTTATTATGTACTCTCAGATTATTGTCATCATCTTTGTTGTTGATATCACAACGTTTCGGCTATTTTGCCCCTCAGCCATCATCAGATGTATATCGATCCGTGTAACCTACAGGGAATTCCAAACTGAACCCTTTATTTAATCTACGGGTGTAGAGTGTTCTTTTTCCAATGTTCATGTCTAGGGTGTATCTAATTTATAACTTTCATTCACGAGACCAGAGGTGGTGAACCACTAACCCGTGGGTCATGAACTGACCCACCATCAACTTTTTAGTGACACACCAGGAGTCAATGAAATGACGTCATGAAATATGACTCGCTATGAACTATATTACAATCAACCACCAGGAATTGCCTTGGTATGGATATAAATATTGATTTATATATACGATTTGTCATTATATATATAATCATTAGAGGGAATGAAAATTTGGAAGCATTTGTTGAATAAATACTGTCTAAGACATCACGTGTTGCATTAAAAAGCACATTTTTTAATCATTTCACCCCAAACAAGCAATAATACCACTATTTAAATTTACTGAAATGGAGAATATGAGAAAAATAAAACATTATTAAAGAGAGGAGAGAGTACAGCAAAAGAACAGGAAGTAAGAAAACAGAAGATTAATTTAAAGTTTTTCAAACTTGGTTGAAAAAAGCAAGAAACCGAGAGAGTTAAATGAATAAACTGTTAGCATAGAACTTACGGTTACATTTTTGAGACATGCCAAACAAGTACTGCGCTCCAGTTCATAAAGTTTAAAGAACCAAAACTCATCAGAACAATTACTATGAAAATATATATATATATATATATTTAAATTATATAATTAATTTATTTTTTTAATAAAGTTAACCATATTTCTGTAAAATTTTTTTACATTAGGAAATGGAACTAATGTCTTTAATTTAATTACAAAATTAAATTCTAAGCTTTTACTTCCATTTTGAAATATGGTTAGAACTGTATAGCGAAAAAAAAACATATTTTAAATCAATTAATTTATAATATTAATGCTCTGTAAATTTACATTGAGCACTATTTTGTAAAAATAAAAATATATATAAGAACACCGGATTATATATGTTACTGTTCTTTTTATATATATATATATATATATATATATATATTTTAAGCGTTTCACCCCAAGCAAGGCGGAAAGCCACTAGGACGCAAGGGGTTACAGAAGATTTGGAGCAAGATCAGATAGGAGTGATAGAGGAAAGGATGAGGAGAAGGATAGTGGATAGATCAAGGGAACTGGAGATGTCGATTGACATTACATTTGAATAGTTGGAGATTATAGCTCTCAGGGAAACTGGAATAGGAAAGGGAGTTCCACAAGCGAGAGGTGCGAGACATGAAGCTATTGGAGTAGTAGAGACGGCTACATTTAGTAGTTTCGACAGTGAAAGGGTGAGAGCGGGATGCCAGCCTCGTAGGGCGCTTGAATTCATGAAGTCTGGAAACCAGTGAATGCAGCTCCTCGGAGTAATTACCATGAAAGTATTTGTAAAAAAGACAGAGAGAAGCGACAGCGCGTCTGTGAGAGAGCGACTGTAGATGAGATGCCAGAACAGGGCCAATTATATTGCATATCCGCCTCTGGAGCTTATCAAGAATCCCGAGGCAAACAGAAGGGGCGCCAGATAAAAAAAAAAGGCACATGAAAGCTACATTACGGCGGTGGGAAAGTGACCGAAGCCGAGATACAAAGTCAAGACCAATAATATTGCAGAATCTTTGGGGTTTATCCCGAACCCCTAAATACATAACAGAAGCACCAGACCCGATGTGGCAGCAATATTCGATGCATGGACAAATGGTAGACTTTGAATGATAGACTTATATAAATGTATGATAGATTCTAGCAAGAAATACTTTTTAGCACAGACGGAAGAAGAAAATGAAGTAATTTGCACAGAAATCAACTAAAGCAGATAAAGTAGACAAGTAAATAAAATAAAATAAAGTAAGCTATAAATAAATATAAATCACGGAGCCCGTGTCCACAGTGCAGGTGAGATGAGTATTACATTTATTTCTGTAATTCCGATAAAGCTCCCTGTCTATCCAAAAACCTAAATCAATTTTCTCCCTGATTAAATTCCATTTCTATTTTTCTCACTTCCTGTTTCAATAATAATGTATAATTACATCGTAAAATCGCGTCTTCCTTCTAATTTTGTCTTGAAGTGGAAGCAAATATGATAATTGCTTTTGCGTTATTTTCTTTTTAACAATCTCGGTTGGAGGATATCAGTGTCAGGAATTCTATACATGTTAAGCAATCGTGTTAAGTCGGCGTTTTTGAAGAATTGTTCATAATAGCGTTGCAAAACAAGAGAAATAAAAGACGACCTTCCTTTTTCGCTGCTGATGAAGAAGAAAACAAGAAAAACAAAAATTATAAACGAAGTTAAAGATGCATATAAATTATTAGAAATAACAATGAAATAAAACAAGGGCACTTCCAGATGGTGTAATGGCTAGCAAACATGATTTGTTAGAACTATTACGGCTTTGTAGTGAGTTCGATCCCCACTGGGTGCTCCACACTTTCGGCCTTGTGCCACATCTAAGCTAAGCTTAGAAAATCATTTAGTGTGTAAATTGCTCTCGAGTAGTTTGTAACAGGTTTATTTATCATCTCTCAGTTGCGTCTCTGTCATGGCCGGCTGCGTCGAAGGACAGAGTTGCAACTGAAGAAAATTATACTGAGAGGTGATCAGTCCTGGGGAACAGCTACCCGAGGCCGTGCCCTCTCATTGCACCAGAGAGAGGGATCGGTGCTCGCACCGAGGCCAGCTCGGGGAATTTTTGTTCCTAGCCAGGGTGTACGCGCTCGGGCTCCCCACGTTAAACCGACCTATGTCACAACCTGACCTCTTGGAGAGGGGGGGGGGTTAAGTAAATACAAATTAAATAAAACAAACGCTTACTGGAAACAGAAGAAAGAGAAAGAAAGATAAATATAATAATTTAAGACGGGGAGGTTTCAGAATGGATAATGGTTAACGAGCCAGTCTGGTTTTGCTTTATTATTAAGTTATGAGTTCTATCCTCACAAGTATGAACTACTTGTGGTTTGGGGCCAAACCTAAGCGCAGTAATTGTAGTGTATGAAGTAATGGTTGACGAGCTAACCTCGTTACCTTACAAACTATAAGTTATAGCACAACTAAAATCCTCGAAAGTGGCTAGTAGATTAGCTGAAAGCGATCGAAATGCACCATCGTTTTGACAATTTCTATAAACACTAATTTAAAAAAAGAAATGTCTTGTTTGTACAGAACAAAAATGCAAAAAATGTAATAGAAGTACCTTGTCCGTCATGTTTAATGAAACATGTATTAGAGAAGGATTACTATCCAAATACGTAACTATATATATATATATATATATATATATATATATATATATATATATATATATATGTGTGTGTGTGTGTGTGTGTAAAAATTTCAGGTAGAGTGTATCTGTAAAAGGACAATATGAATATAGACAAACAGAAAACTTATCTTAGCCGTATCGTCTTCTGAATGACTTTATCAAGACAAATCCAAAGATTTTATTTTGTAACAAATATTTATGTAGAGGAGCAAAATGTTATTGTTTTTTTTTTGTTTTTTTTTAATTTATAAGTTTATGAACGCTCAACAATATTCATTAGGTTAGTTGAAAAGTCAGGCAGGTTATAAAGGACACGACGTGACACAATTCAATGCCTAAAAAATGAAAGTGAGTGACTGATGCTTTTTTTTTGCAAATTAATATTTAAATCATTTAATTTTGGGATTAATTTATGTGTTATACATTTTGAGTAACATGAGTTTAAGGATTTAATCATTTTCTTTCAATTTTTCAAGGCTTCAAAATTTTTTAAAAAAACATCACTTACTTTCGTTTATTAGACATTAAATTATGTCACGTCGTGGTCTCCATAGCTTGTCTGACCTTTCAGCTAACTTGATGAATATTTGTGAGCGTCCCTAAACTTAAAAAAATTTGAATAGCCTACATATATCTACATTTGAATAGCGTACTATTTGAATAGCCTACATATATCTACATTTTGAATAGCCTACTATATCTACATTTTTACTCTTGTATATAAATTGTATAAATTATATACAAAATAAAATCCTTGTATTTGCCTTCATAAAATCCCTAAGAAGACGAAACGTAACGGCTAAGATACGTTTTCCTTTTGCTGTTATTTATATGAAGTGAAAATATTGATTAAATCCAACAGATTGATTAAGTAAAGAATAAGCAGGAGACTTTTCATACACTTTTGCTTCATGATAAATTCCTGGGAAAGTGAAATAATGCTTAATGTTTCAATTCTATGTTATTTTGTTTTCATGTGACGTCTATACAACCAATGAAATGTTCCTTCATTATCCTCCGATCTCGTCCCCCATGGACCATGAACATAGACCTTTCAGTAGCTGATACAAAATGTGGGACACCAACCCGTCATCCAGGTGGTTTTTGGCCGAGACACTATCTCCAGAAAGACTGCCGCCCAAGGCTAAAAACTCCTTTCAAGCCACGAAGTGAATTATCCCGCGCCAGACACCAACTTGGAATTTGAATTTCTTCGGACTGTCATAG